AAGTCCCAAACAGTTGCCAATCTGGCATTAACCACATCAATTAGGGCAGCTATTTCTAATTCAAAAGCGTAAACAGTAACACATTGATGAGCCATGCTGTGCTATTTTGACTTCAGCTGATTTCTTTTCAGACAGTTTGATGAGACTAAAACAGTAAATTCAAGCATTTCTATTTGTGTGCTGGTACAGAACTTCTTCATCTGCCTCTTTGGAATCTGGCCAGTTAAAACCAAACATTCTAGTTTTAGCGTTTTACAAATTAAGATACTCAGATGGATAAAGGATACAATCACTGCTTGCTAAGGAAGAAAAATATCTCCTGCTTACCACCCAAGTCAAGGAGATTCAAAGCAGTGGTGGGTTGCAGGCGGTATGCCCCGGTACAGTGTACCAGTGCCTGGCCGGAGCACCGGGTACCGTTCTGGTACGGTGCTCTGGAGGGCTACCCACCCGCCCAAGCTCCTTACCTGTATTTGAGCTCTTCAACATTTCTGCATACACGCATGGAGAGCATGGCACCTGCACGACGCTCCACCGAGCAGCTGGAGCATCACAGAGGCGTTACAAGAGGTAAGAATGCATGTGCAGGTGTGTGCACATGCTGCACGCATGTGCCCATGTGCTGCGCATGTTCACGTGGTGGACACTGGGTCCCGTTGCACCATACTGGTTGCAACGGGATCTGGAACCCACAACTGATTCAAAGCCTTAAAAGTAAAGCTAGCTATAGAGTCAGATTTTCCCTTTCCACTTCTTTCATAGAGAAATCCCTCAGCATTTCACTTCCTAAAATCTCCAGATTTTGCTGGTCAAATGTGTAGAATAAATAAATGTCTATAAGCCACCCAAATGTAGCTATATGAAATATGCACACCCTGCTCCTGTGTGTTTACATAAAATTGATAGCAACAAAAATTCTGTTTCCCCAGTGCCCCCTGCCCTTCCTCCAATTTCTCCAGTCCATGAATTAGGGAAAGAGAAAACTAGTAAATACAATACCAATTCAGTTAACTCCAAGCTATCAAAGCCAGAGGTTTATGGGTCAGTTCAGTTTTAGCTTAATAAACTGTATTGTATGAATGCAGCCAACTGTGGTTTGGAAACCATAATTCATGGAGTAATATTATATTTGAACAAAACTAACCAATATTGCTCTGGTCTTCCCATGCAATTTTTCCATGCAAGAGATATCTAGGTGTTCTGAATTGACAAGATGTATGAAACAAAAAGGAACTCTTGAAACAGTTGTGCCTACTTCCTACTTTGGAATAAAGAAGTGTAGCCTGTGAATATGTAACCTAAAGTGCCACGGCCACAGATAGTCCTCCAAAGTCTTGGATGTGGCTATCCAAAATCCTTTTAAAATTCCTAACCAACTTGTAATGTTTAATGTGGCAGAAGATGGAAAATATCAAACAAATAGGAAACAATCACATTCAATATATTTCATGTGCTTATGTTTGATCCTTCCTTTATCTACTTTGACACTAGTATGCCTTTCAAACACCACAAGCAGACACTCTTAATGTGTGAAGAGCTGTGCACCTCTGGGATGGGAATACAAAAACTCAGCAGAGGACATGTATGTCTCCCCCATTTCCTTCCTTTTTACAAAACTGCTATGCTGAATTATGGGTGCATCCCACTCCTTTCCCTCTGCACATACCTGACATTGTCATGTTTCTGGATATAAATTTTATGAAACATCATATCTTCTTTTTTGGCATTAATGTCAGCTTTCATCTCCATGGCAACATGGCGAGGCAGTACAGAAAGCAGGAGACGCTCCTGTGGAATCAGACAGATAAACCAATTAAAACACCTGCTCTGGCTTCAATTTACAACACAAACATGTCTCTCTTTGAAGATCATGCTCGCAAAATTAAACTGCTATTTTGTGATGGAAACACAGAACCATACGTATTTCCAATAAAGCCTGCTCTTATCAAGCCATCTATGATTCTGTTCCACTTAGTCAATAAGCAAATCAGAGATGGCATAGAGAAAGGGATTTCCTCCAATTACAGTTTGGATGGCCAGCTGTTCATAGTCCCCAACTCAGTTGTGGAATTCAACTTATATTTGCGAGATTTTGTCTATATAGCCATAAGAAGATAAGTAAAAAGTATTATAACAGAGAAACAAGTCATTACTTAGGTCAGTGATGGCTAACCTTTTGTGTCAAAAGTGTGCGCGTGTGCACATGACAGTACACATGCATGCCTGCACCCGTAATGCAATGTGCCCATCCCCCTGCACATGTGTGCACAATCCCTGTACATGCATGCCCCCCTGTGCCTCATTTTGAACAAAACTTTTTTATTTTTCTTTAAAAAAAACACAAATATGTCATTTGTCAATCATTAAAACATTGAAGTACAATTTTTTTTTGTTGTGTGTACCCCCCCCCCCCTCCCCCCCCCCCCCCCCCCTCCCCCCCCCCCCGACTTCCCAGAACCCGTACCCGGTATGGATTT